CCCCAAAACCCCAAAACCCCAAAACCCCAAAACCCCAAAACCCCATTCTAGAATTTATAATTGATTCTTGAAATTAAAAGATGAATACTGAGAGACCATCAAGGATAGGTGCGAAGAAGACCTACGCACAGCTAGAACAAGAGAATAAGGAGTTAAAGCTTGAGTTGAGACAGTTGAGAAGAGAGAATAAGAGAATCGTAGTAGAGAATATGAGTTTAAGGAAAGGGGTAGTAAGGAATGAGGGAAGGAGGGCAGATAGGGGTTTTTAGACATGGAATTTGGGTTTAGACGGCACTTTTGGACTAGGGTTATTGTTTATTATAGGGGAGTTGAAGTAAGACGAATGAGGCTTTGAAGGGGAATGGAAGGACGACAGAAATTACAGACAGAATGGATACTACCTATACACAGAATTATACTGAAAAGGGCCGCGATACTTTTGATGCACATGATGTTGTCATTGATAAAGATCTTTTAAATGACTCTAATACTTTCACATCCCCCGTAAATAAAAGAAATTTGTCCTGAAATCTATCATCATCAAATATAACTCTTAACTCATCGAGAAGAGTCTATGGATCAAATGTAAAGAGTAGATTGTCAACTTCTCCATTTCAGAACAAAACTCTTTCAAATATAAAGACTTTAGGAAAAATGTCATACATCCCCAAAAGGTACAAAGGCTTAAAAACAAGCTTCACAAAACCAAATATTAAATTCAGAAAGCCATTATCAATCAGCCCTAGCAGAGTGTATAAATTAAAGATGAATTCTCCTGAAAATACTGAGGATGGGTCTTCCCACCTAACTCCATATGTACTAAAGAGGAGCTCAAAGCGTCAAAGGTAGTAACATCAATCACTCACTGTTATAGCTTCTTGCCTTCGCCAAAGGATTCTAACAAATTCAGCTTAAAGTACACTCCAAAGCCAACCTCAACTAAACTGTACAGAGATCCTAGTAACAAGAAGTTGTACAAAACTGCTACGAAGAATTCGAAATATCGTGAAGAAGAGAAGAAAGGTGAAATTTTTGAGCCTTCTAGCTCAATCAAAAACCGCAAAAAGCAGAAGCAAGCCTTCCTTGAAGAGCAGCCAAAATCTAAGGAGAAGATCTTCAGTGGTGTCAAGAAACCAAAGATTAGTAAGAAGAAAATGCAAGCTATTGAGAACAGAAAATAAAGAAATTTCAAGCCAGATTTATTGTATTGCACCTGAGCTAAACCCTAGCTTAAAGGAAAATCCCTTCGAGCTGTCTGATGATACTGCTTACGAGCGGTCAAGACACTCACATCACAGGATCGGTAAATACTCCCGAGTGGTTACCATGAAGAGGTCTAGTCGAGGAAATAGAGCCGAGAAAAGAATCAGCATTAGTGTCAGTAACCATAATCATTTCGGAACTCCAAAATTTGATAAAATATTTGAGGATTTCTTCATCATTGGAATTGAGCCCAAGAAGAAAGTCAAGAATGATGACAAAGGGTTTGGATTCCCAAAAGTTCTATATAGCTATATAGATTATTCTAGTAAGGAAGACCAGTCAAGAGTTGATTCGATGATTGATTTCTGATTCCCAGAAGGACTTTCAGTTGAAGAGATAGATCCTAATGATTCTTTGAATAGTCCGTATATAGAAGAAGTGCTATATTCTAAGCATCCTTATCGGAAAAATAGTTTTGTATTCACCCTGAACAACACTGAGCAGAAGGACAAGGAAGCAGAATATATAAATTTCTTGTGAGTGAGGTTCTTAGATCTGGTAAAGTGTAAATAAAATGTATAAGAAAGCAGTATATTTAACAAAGAAAGCATACTGATTTAAATTCAACCATTCCTGATATGACCTTGTTCTCGATATTGCTAATACAATGATCAGTATGATGAAAGATTCCTGGGTTCACGAGCTAAATAGACTTTCCATTGCTGATTCTAGATCCAGTGAGGCTTCAACTACTTTGAATAAAGAGTTAAGTGCTTACTTGAGAAATGAGCTGATTACAGGGGAGATGAAGAATATGCTTGATGAAATAAGCCTTTATGACTTTTCAAAACATACAGGGTCAAATATCCAACACAGAGCTCAAGGAGAAATTATGTGGATTAATTACACCCAGCCATCCTTAAGAGAGTACAAGTATTACGATACAAAGTGGTTCTGCCCTATATTGTTTCAAAATCTAAGTTTAGAAAACTTTATCATGGCACTATTTGCGATCATGTTAGAGAAATCAATAATCTTTATCTCAAAAGATGTCCAATATTGATCATGAGTAGTGCTTGGGCTAAAGAATCTTATCGAGCCTTTCCGGATCTGATTCGCAATAATTCCAGTTATGCCTCAGCATGTAATTGAGTATTTATCAGCTCCTGTTCCTCTTCTTGTGGGACTGCCGAGCAACCTTGTAGAGATAAACAAAATTGATTACCAAAATTTTGAAGCTGATATGGCAGAAGACCTAAACTGGGTCAATTTGGACGATGAATCCCAGTCTAAATGGAATTCCGAAATGACTCTTCCATTTTGAGCAGGCCTTAAGGAGAAAATTAGAGAGGATTATGACTTTATCAGATCTTTCCCAAAGAGTTTGATAGAGCATCAAAGTGATGAAGTTGATCAAAAAGTGAGAAGCATAGTTGATATCATCAAAGATTGTATTTTTGATACCTTTATTAACCCAATACCGTTATCAATAGGCTTTAGTGTTGAACAAGACTCTGATAGCAAATTTCCTAGAGAGGTTAAAAGTCCCAGGACTCAAGAAAGACTGTCTAAGATTGATAGAGACGAGATTAAAATTGAAAACCCAGTTGATGAGAAATTCTTCCAGGAGTTCTATGACTCTTTGATGTTCCAGACCTTCTTAGAGGAATATAATAAAGATAGTGAAGAGTAAAGCATACACTTAAACATTCAACTTATTTAATTATTAAGGGGTTTTGGGGTTTTGGGGTTTTGGGGTTTTGGGGTTTTGGGG